CTGTATGTACTTGTAACGAAGTCTTGGATTGGAAGGAACAAAGTTATTGAAAAACGCAGGTTCTCCATACACCTCTTGTAGCAACAGTGCTCTATCAATATCTCTATAGCGAGCTATACTCAACTATATGTTGGACATTACTTGAGTAACCAGCACCTGGTGTACGAAGTGGCACAGGCTCGTGGTGTATCTTTTTCTGCTGAATATAATTTACATAACCATCCACATTCATAGCAATTGTGTGCAAAGAACTGGCAAAACGTCTCCAATATGCTTTAGCTCTGCAGGATAAAGTGAGAACTTGATATAATTGGCAATTAATTGACATCATATTCTTTCAGTGGAGACAGTGAGTGTTTGTTAGCCTTCAGATCTGAATAATTTTCTCAGTGAAGGTCACATGGTAGTCATTTATACTATTCACTGTGGATAGATAATTGAGCAGATAGAACAGAGAATGCTGCAGTGTACTGACAACTTATCATTTCACTCTCAGTTGGAAACTAAGCTTCTTGTCTGCAAGAAAGTCTATTATGTCATTATATAGTTGCTAATCACCACGGGCATTTTCGTTCCTTTAGAACATTCATCATGATCATAAACACACTATGAGCCCCTGTTTCACTACTACTTGCTAAAGCCCTTATTTCTTCTTCATGGGGATAAACAAATACAATAAACCTGTCATTTTATTGGCTGCATTGCGCAGCATTAAAACTTAGTCCCATGGTCAGTTGCTGACTTTATCTTTAGACTCGTACAGAAAGCAGGTGGGCCCATTTCCTGAACTACTCGGAATTGCAAGAGTATTTTCAGTACACACTCTTTCTAGTAAACTAGCAAAAGTATCTGATTCAGTCATTGACCATCCATGAAGGATCTTACGTCCTATGAAAATGGCGACAGTTACATACATGACTTCACAAAACCCTAGTATATCATATGAAATACTTCTAGCTTTAACTCTGGATATAGAATATGATATATCGAAAGTACGAATTCACTCCTAGCCTCAGCTACCTATATCTACTTACCATTCCATTAAATATCTCCCCCTATTTCAAATTTTTTAGTAGCCCCTACCTATACTACGACAATGTCCCAAAGTTTAACCTCAGTTTTAACATTAAACACAATAGAAGAGGAAGCCATTTTAATAACAGCAATACTTACTCTGTACTACAAAAAATTCTAGATTCTGTGTATTATAACTCCAGTCACTTTTATTCTTCTCACCTGCACTACTGGCGAGGGCTCTGTAGAGTCAAAGTTTGGTTGATATGGGCCTGTGGCTCTTGCTTCATTTTACATGAGGCAAGTTTGCACTGAGCACTTAATAGCTCACTGTGACAATCATATTCCCAGGCATCACGTGATGTAATTTTCTAGCTATGTTTGTTTAACAAGCGTTTGCCTACATACAATTTGTGGCTCAAGCAAAATGAGAAACAGGAAATGAACTTGACGTGGCCTAAGTGAACCAAGTAGTAGCGTTCCAAAGGTCCTCTCTGTTCAGTGAGTTGAACTTCAAGGAGTCGATGTATCAGTTTAGTTTATGTTCATCCAAAAGACCTTTTTTCGCCTATATGATCAATGCCACATGCATAGCATTTGTTCTTAAATGGATGAAATTTATGGGGATCTTTGGATAGTTTAATGCTAAAAAATCTTAAATTAATTTTCTCTGGGTCAAAGTCTTTTTCTCAAGAGTACAGAAGAATGCTCCGACCACACTGAATGGTTAACATATCCATAGTAATCATATTTATTATAATTTATTCTACTTATTGTCTCTTTTCTTTTGGAAACTACAAAACAGAATAAAAATACTGATATTTTCCAAGTGATTTAGTTTCTTAATTTACGAAAAAAGTTAACATTTTAAATAACTTTTCAGGAAATTATTCTTTTAGAGTAAATACAACTCCGGATTTTAATGTTGTATACCCATAGACTTATTGCCATCCCACCGGGGGACATTAGGAAAAGGAATTTAACCTCGAGGATTCAGATTTAACCATCCATAATTTTGAATGACTGACCATAGTTAAAGTAAGCCACACAGCAGTAACCACCATCATGAGGGCTTTGTTCTTATCTTTGAACAGTTTGTTTGTTTTGAATTTCGCGCAAAGCTACACGAGGGCTATCTGCGCTAGCCGTCCC